AGTAGAACAGTTCTGTAGTCAGCAACACAACGTTGTTCCCTCAATAGAGACTGTCAACATCGGATTGTCAGCAGCTTAAAGCAGGAGAGGTCCAAATGGCAAGGGTTGACCAAGTCATTGTAAGCGGCAGCAAAAACTAACCATGGTGAAACTACATGTCTCTTGCAAAAAGTGCATGCTCTCGACATTGCAGTTAGTGACACAGCACTTTCCTAGTGTGTTAACCCTTTCTGTGGAAACCCAAAAAAAAAGGGGGGGGGTCAAGATGGCACTCAACGGTACGAAAAAATGTAGCAGCTCGCAATGCTCGACCCACATGGCATACTCGAGTTTTCAGAGACTGATCCGGACCTGCAAAAGCATTCTGCCTCTAACACAATACACAAAAGTCTAAAAAAAAGTGTCATAAATGGAGCCCAGTGCCCGAAGGTCAGGGGGGGCGGCAGGTACAGCTTCCAAAGCTACCGGTGAGAATACAACGACCCAGGTAGCTGCATGCCTCGGTAGCAAGTAGATGAAGTCTACAAATAATATTGTCAAAGAAAAAACAGCACATACAATAGTCAAACTTTTCTCATTCGAGAAAAGATGTCCATCCTTCTAGGAGACTAGCAAAAAAGCGGAAGCATAATCTGAGTGGGAGCGTTCACTGTATTTTTGTTTGCCAGTGTCTAAATCAGTGGTCTCAAAGTACCGGCCCGTGGGCCGCTTATTTATTTGTGCAGGGGTCGTATTTCTTATGTATATGTAAGTTTAGGTGCGATTAGGGATTCCTACATCAGGAGCTTGCGTTTTCCGACAGTAGGAATCCCTAATCTGATGTTTATAAGTGGCATCTGTCACCCATTCAAGTTAATGATCAGGTGACAGCAGCTGAATGTAAACGCCTACCCACTGTCCCTGGATGCACAATCGATGCGCCCGGGGATAGTAATTGATTCCTAACCAATTGTAATCATATCACATACCATTACATGCAGTGGGCAGGCGTTTACATTCAGCTGCTGTCACCTGATCATTAACTTGAACGGGTGACAGCTGCCGCTTGTAAACACCAGATTAGCGATTCCTGCTGCAGGAAAGTGCAAGTTCCTGACGCAGGAATCCCTAAATCGCACCTAAACCTACAGATATGAATGGGGCCTTATTGTGAGTATATTAGTATCCGTAGTAACAAACCCGATATAGTTAAATTTTATTTTAAAGTATGAAATTTGGCAAACGGCCCCCATAGGAGAAAAAAAATTTGTCGAGTGGCCCCCGAGTGAATTGAGTTTGAGACCCCTGATCTAAAAACTTCTATTAGGCAGAGGTAATGAAGAAATATATAGTTAGACATTTATAGGTTCTCTCTGTAATGCACTGCACTTGAACAAACTATGTTATGGGTTAGCCTTACTACGCAATAGTGAGGCTTGAAAGATGGGGGGGAGCAAGTCCAGACCTAACTTTTACAAGAAAGGCAGAAATCTGCATATAATTTCAGCTGCCTAAATCTCTAGATCTTCAGATGCTTTTTATATTTGATTATCTCTGAAGGTAACGTCTGATTATGCATTTTTACCATTATATGCCAATGTCAGTCAAGTTTACAATTTTAAATGCTTGCTTACCCTTACCAAATTTTTATTGTTAGCTTATGCAAGCAGTGAAACAAATTTAACAAACGATTTTAAGGGTCCATTTACACTTCTGCCTTTTATTGCATTTTAGTACACATTTAAAAGGAATGTAGAACACACTTGTTAGGTACCATTCGTCTAACTATAACCAAGCTCATCTTCACAATCTAGTGAGGTTTTTTTTTTTTGGTTTTTTTTTTAAACGTTAGCAGCGTTCTAAGCACATTTTCCCTGAAACTGTATTACATATAAATGAATAGTAATATATGCAAAATGTTTTAACACCTGTCTTACATGCATTCCATTAAAAATTACCATAAAAAACAAACGTAGGAAACCTCAGCACGTCTCCTATTACCTTTAAAAACAACACATGTAAAAACACCAAACTGTACATTCTAACATACATTAAAAATGCACACATTCCTAAAGCAGAGTGACTTCACTGAAGTGTTATAACACTTAAAGGAGAACTATGAGGTGAGTGAAAATAACTCATCCTCATGGTTCGAGCCGACCTGTGAATAATTCTGTCACACGTCGGGTCAATAGATCAGGAAGTGAGCGAACACATACCGTCACTCGCCCACTTCTCGATCATCTCTCCGCAGAGAGCAGTGACCGTCAGTCACGGCTCCCTGCAGAGATTTCCCCCTCCCCGCTCCGATCCTCCAGCGCTGACTGAAGGAACGGACGGGGGAGGGGGCGGGTACAGCAGGCTCTGCCTTTAGATAGGCAGAGCCGGCTGTCACTCACGCAGCTAGGTGGATCTCGACAGTAATGTCGGGATCTGGCCCGGCTGTGGCGGTCTCAGTATACTGCAAGCTGTAGCTTGCGATATACTGAGGTTTGGGTCACGGGAGAATGCTAGTTTATGTCCTTCCGTGACCCTTAAGAGAACTATGGGGAAGAACACTTACCCCATAGTTTGCTTTTAAGATTACTGGTAAAGCAGCATATTGTTATAATAATCATGCAACCTTCCCCATATACCAGAACTAAGAAAAAAAAAATGATCATGTGTTTACTATACCTCATCCAGCTTCTGCTGAAACAGTTTTTTGATCTCTTCCTTTTGAGCATGGCAATGTGTAAGAAGTTGTTGGGCAGCACCAAGCAGCTGGGAGTTTTTCACCTAAAAGGTTTTCAACAAAATCCAGATCAGTATAGAAAAAGGAACAGAAATTAAACACACCTACTTATTTAAAACCACGACTGCAAAGCTTACTAGCAGAAGCAGCAACGCCAGCTAAAAACCTGATTATATCTGAGCATTAAGAAAAAGTCCAGTTAAATGACATACCTTTTCTTTCTGTAACAGCTGCTGCAGTCCAGCTTTGTACTGGGGAGTCTTCATGTAAGACATAAGTTGCAGGTACTGTACCCTAAATGAGTCTGAGACAGAAAAGAAATTTGTGAAGAATAGCACACAAATATAAAAGTTAGCCAGGTTAAAAGTGTTTAATATGCTCATTGACGAGCTTTCCCATATTTAATACTTACAAGACAAACCTGTGGACTTACAGACCACTCCTGGAAAAGTCTTTCATAATGGTACATACTATCCTCTGTTCCAAAGACCAGAAGTAAAACCGTTCATGACAAAAGATGGTAAGTTTAGATGATTGAAACAAATAAATAAAAGACAGCAAATGATATTCACAATCCCAACTTAAGATGGCACTAACAGACAATACATGCAAACAAAAAGACGAGATAGAGAAGTGTCACTCCCTGGCCGCTTTTGACACCGCCACAAAATAACCAATGAGAGTATTTTGAAACTAGCCCTGCTAAGACATGAAAAAGCAACAGCAGTTCAGGTAACAAGGTTGTTGCCTAAAGAAGACTTCTAGCTACTAGCAATAAGGGTTCCCTTTCAGAAAACAGGCTGCAATGTACTTCACAGGAATAAAGTCTTTTTTCTACAAAATATCTTCTACCCTTCCCTAACATTAAAAAAAAAAAAAATCCTCCCTATCCTTCCTATTCACTTACATTTTCTATTCCTCAAACATAATAAATTATAAAAGAACCAGACAAACCAAAAACCAAATACGAAAAATGAGTCCCTTTAATGCCATTTAAAGATTACAACGAATACAAAGCATATAATGAACATAACCAAGAAGTGTCAACCATTGGGATCACATCTGCCAATTTGTCTCATCTCCACACACCCTCCTATAGTGACCCTCATTCATTATTCTCTCTTATCATGCCTTTATAACTGCTTTTTACCACAACTTTAACAGATGTTATTTCTTAAAACACATCTTTTTTTCTATGAACTATTTTGGAAATTGAACTCTAAATGCCCCAGCAAAGCAGAACCTCCACCTTACTGCTCTTATTCATTATTGCTATGGTTAAGCCCCTCACACTTAAAGCCCGAACGCATGTTGTAAAAAAAAAAAAAAATGTGCAGGGGTGCATAAAAACATTGATGTTAAATGTGTTGCGTCTGTAGTTTAATTGTGCTCTGGCATGAGGCCAGGTTCACAAAATTTTCCTGGCCAGACCTGTAACATGGTGCATTGCGTTAAGACGCATCTTTAATGTGTTCCAGTGTGTTTTTGTTTAGCTTAAAATGGGCTTTCAGGTGCAGTCCAGTGCGTTCCAGACCAGAAAAAATAGTGCATGCAACATTTTGTTTTTGCCTGCACTGGAACAGACTGCACTGGTATGAACAGAGCCCTAAAAATACCATAGGAATACATTGGGATGCAATTCAGATGCGGACAAAAACTGTTCTGATCTGGAAATGGTGTGAACAAGTCCCGAAAGTTCAAATCCTTGCAGCATGCTGAAATGAGCACCACTGCTCCTTGTGTTCCTTAGCAGCCCTGACATATCCCACACCCCTCCCCCTTGACTATCCGCAACTACTATTCTCCATACAGCAATGCTAATGCACCCTGAGCTGGGAAAGCAATTGATGCAGATTGGAGAGCAGTAGTTGAAGTGAATCAGTCTGCTGCAGATAGACTGTGGTTTTCATGCAGATCCTTGGACCGAATCTTCATCCTGGTGCAGGGATTCAGACTTTTGGGCTACTGCTAAAGCACAATTAACCAAACTAAGACATGTAAAACGTTATGTTTTTATGCACCCTCCATTTGTCTACCATGTTTTACAACAAGCAACAATGGGAGCTTATAGTCTTAACCTCACCTTAAAGCTCAACTAACATATGCCCAGACTAAGGACACCAAAGTATATGCATAGTGGAGTAATTAATCCTCAACGATAGCAACAGATACTGAAGTCAAGTAACAGCTTAAAATCTATTCTCACTAATAGCATTGCACTAAATGCAGGGAACCTGTGCATTTAGTGCATGCCATTACACTCATGGTGCAGTAGTGCAACAACATGTATTGTAAAAAATGTAGTGCAGTAGTTTTTCAATACACAGCAACACACAAAGTTGGGCAGCGACACAACCGATGCCAGCCACAAGGTGTGTTGGGGTGCAATTGAAAATCCTGACAAGCAGCATCACATTGCTCAGTTGTAAACAAGCCCCATAGAATAAAATGGAAATCTTGTTTCGAGTCATTGCATTTCTGGAAATGCACTTCAAATCCCTCAGGTGTGAATGGGGGTTAATGTTCATAGTATGGACACAGGTTCACTTAAAGTGTCTCACCAAGTTCAACATACTGTACTTTATATAATCCTAAGCAAATGTTCATAATTGGGTGTTAAAGGAAACATGGCAGCTGCCAATGCGGACTAGTTTATGGAGTCATATTTGTTTCACTATTTACCAAGTCACCACCCTGGAACAAGCATATGTAGATAACATGTCCTGAAATTAGATAAACATGATTATTCCAGGTCAGTGACTCGCTAACTAGCAAAAGAAAGAAAAAAAAGGTAAAACATGCACCTTCATGTGAGTAGAGGCAACTCCCATATTTTATTTTTTCTATACACAAGTTAGGATTTTTTTTTTATGTGGGCCAGTGGTGTTCAACCTTGGCCATCAGGACTGCCCAGCAGTGTAGGTTTTACACAGACCCAAAATAACCAATACTATTAGGGCTTGTTGAAAAAAAAGGAATGAAATGTGTCGCATTGACATGGGTTTAATGAAAATACTTCAGTTCTGCTTTAAGGGAAGGGATTTTCTAATAATTAAGATAGCCCAATATGAAAAGCAACCATTTGATATAAGCTTGAACAGAATACTGAAAGAATCCAGACGTCTCCACCAAACCTACAGATTATAACTTGACCATTATAAATGAATAATTGCAGACTGCTATTTTGCTGCAAATATATCATGGTTACATGATTATGCCATGAACACTGGCCTCCTGCAAAGTTGTTCCGAGTCTCAACTTTGACTAATAAAATGAGACAAATTCGACAAATTTCATAATCCTTTTACAAAGCCTAATTTGCTCTTTCTTATGCATCCTGCAAACTTTTGCTTTTACCTGGTCATCACAGTGGAAGTACAAGACACTTGTTAGCTTTACTACATTCCTTAAACTACAGCACCCTAAAGTACTTTGTGTACTGACTAACACTGATCACTCTCCAGCCAGTTGTCTTTCACACTGACTATTCCCATGTACTTTCACTAAACAGGATCTTAGCAGATTCCGAGAGCAACATTAAACGTTAGGGATGCACCGATACTGGTTTTTCAGTATCGAGTACCGATTTTTTTTTTATCAGTAGTGGCAGATACCGAAAACAGATACCGGAAGTCCCATTAAGGAAGCCATGTGGTCGAGAAGCCGGCTCCATCACCAATTGACGAGGGACCATGCAGCCGGCTTCCCGGCCAATCAGGAAGCCGGGCAGCATGTAATGACTCCCTGCCCGGCTTCCTAAAGCCAGAAGTTCGGGTATCAGGCTAGGCATCTGAGCACTTTAGTGCGTAGAAGTATGCGCCCAGATACTCAGAATCGGCACCGATACTGGTATCTCTGCATCCCTATTAAACGTAAAATAAACTTGTCACAAACCTGGAAAAATTTAACGGAGCATATGATGAAAAAAAAAGTGCAATAGCAGAGATCATCATGAATAGATCCCGAAGTAAAGGGAACCAGCTTCATATAGAAAGTCTGACTTTTCGCATAAAAGTTCTCAAATCGAAATCGCAACAGGGCTGTACAGCACATTAGAAGACCCGTAAGGGGAGCAAAATTGCCTTCACAGGAAAATTCCAGTTAACCTACAACTTCAGAAACCTTTATTTCTGCACCTATGGGCCATGTGGTTTTCACTAAAAGTGACCTAGGATACATTTTTCATCATATAGAAACTTCTGTGACCAGTTTACTTTAATCATCAATAATGCCAAAAAGGAAGATACAACTAACCTGAAATCTACTAACGGTAATAAGACATTAGAAAAGCAGAAGGAAATTGTATGGTAATACAAGGACACAAGAAAATAAAGGAGTTTAGAAAAAATATGTCACTAAAAACAATGGAGTAAAGGGGGTACAAAATGAAAATGATAGATACTTGGGTGAATTAAATATCAACAACATTTACAGAAATATCTAGCAGGCATATCTACAGAATATAGAAAAAGGGAGGTATAAATTATATGCAAAAAAAGAAAAAACCATGACAGAAACAACTGAGAGAAAAAAGAGAGAACACATGGGCAGACTCCATGGCAAATAGACTTTGCTCAAGCCTTGGTTTAGGTGGGAAACCACGTTCACCCAAGAGGCTCCACTGCCGAAAGCAGCTGCTAAACGGGGAGGTGACAGATAAGGTAAAGGCCAGAACCTTCAGCGGCGAATAATGCTGCTAGAGAAAGGCAGAATGTCAGACACAGAACATTAAATATAGGTCAGACATTACGCATATCTCTTAAATGTAAGACTCAGCCTCAGTACAATTAAACTAGTTCTAAAATGTCACTCTACAGAATTCCCTTTGTCATGAAACTTAGCTGCCTTATGAACAATTGTCGAAAATGTCACCCCAGAAGTCAATGGACTCTTCCAAATACAATATGGTCAGTGTATGGCTAGTGGAGCCAATTATTCACGTCAACTATTAGTGGAAGACACAGATTAAACACCTTCCTACATAGTCTCGTCACATTTAGTCTTCAACAATAAGGTCAGTTTTAAATTTTTACTTTCATTACAGCTCGTTATGTACCATGTTGCCGGTAATCAAGGCAACACAATGAAACATAAAGGGCTTACCCAGAAGAATGGTGTTATCCATCTTAACTGCTTCTTGACGGCATTGATCACTTATCTAGAGCAAAAGACTGCAGATATACGCTAAAAAAGTCAATTGGAATACTCTTACCAAGCAGCTTCTGCAGTGCTGGGGGTGTAGGAGAAGACATCAGCTGGTTGGAAGGTTGACGCTGTGCTTTTAGAGGTAGCTGATAATGGGGACTTTGAGGTGACTTGCAGGCATCTACCAAAGAGAAAAAGAAAAAAAAAAATCAAATTTGCTACTAGTTTCAAATTATTAAAAAAAAAAAAAACACTACTAGGCTTCATTCTGTGTGTCGCAGGTTTGAGAAGTGTCTGTAAAATCTGTTTTTTGGAGTACATCTCAGGACTCGAAGTTAAAGTTAATTCTGGAACTAATGTGTTATGAAGCTACCTTCAGATGATTGGACACTGAAAAATCAAAGCTGAAGACAGCCTTGTATAACCCCTACCACTTCCAGCCTGTCTTAAGATGGCCATACATATACTATACATACTATAGATTTTCTATGGTCAGATAGTAAAAATTGCAACAGGTTCCTTCATCCAAAAAGGATCACAGAACAAAACAAAACAAAAAGGGAGGGCCCTGTGTCCTGTGATGTACTCCAAGAAACACATTTTACAGGTAAGAAAGAAAATTATGCTTTCCTAACATCACATGACACGGAGTTAATACTGGAACCAACAGAACGTCAAAAAGCAGTCCAACAGAGGGGTGGGCAACACAGCAAACAACTGCTAAGAGGCCCGTGAAAAACCCAAACATGGAAACCAAAGCTAACATCCACAAGAGGTATGAATGCCCAGCTGGAAAAACTTGCCAAAATTGTGAACTGAGGACCAGTGGACGTCTTACAGATTTGGGATACAGAAGCCTGATGCTGAACAATCACAAGCAGCACTAACACTTCCAGCAGGGTGTGCCTTGACTAGAAAGAGGAGAACTTTACCATTTAGTTCATAGGCCTGAGTGATAGTTTGACCATCACACTTAGCGATAGTGGAACAAGAAGCCAGCTGCCCCATGCGGGGACCATCAGTCAGACTTGTGGTTGGAAGCAATAACAGGGGGGTAAATTGAACTGCTCAAACCTCATGCAAACAGTGTAGAGAAACTTCATTTAGATGTTTAGGTGCAGGACATAAGGATGGTAAAATAATGTCTTGGTCTGAGTAGAAAGCAGAGACCACCTTAGGAAGAAAGGAGGCCTTAAACCTCATTAATACCTTATCCTTGTGGATAACCAGAAGAGGATCTTTACAATTTAAGGCCACTAACTCAAAAGTTTGGCAGAAGGGATTGTGATGAAGGCCATCAGGCAAATAAGAGTCAGAGGCATAACTCCCCTCCCACAGTGCCACCGCAGTGCATACAGAAAGGACAACGTAAGCTAGGTACCCCCCCCCTCTTCAACTTCTGGAGATTCAGGACCCATCCAAAGCTCTGAAGGGCTAGGTATCTACCAATGAACGTTGGACGAAAAGGCTCTTACTGGCTGCTCTGAGGAGGTCATCCAAGTACCCTTGAGACTGAAGCAAAGCCAATACAGGGGCAAGCACCACAGTGAAAACCTGAGGTGTTGTGGACAGGCCAAATGGAGATGTGCAAATATGCATCCTTGATGTCTCCCGAAGGCCAAGAAGTCACCTGGGTAAAAAGAGCGTTTAGGAAAGGTTCTGGCAGTTTGGGCATTTTTAACGAACCCAGAGTAGTAACCTTGGGCAAGGCCAATCATACATTTTCACCATAAATTCAGTCATAACAAAAATAAACTCCTGTCTAGATATAAGAGAGGAGGGTGCCTGGAGGGTGCTGAGGACACCAAGGCAGGCAGCGACGAGAAAAAGGAGCAGAACATAGGACTGGAAAAAATGGTGTACCCAAAAAAGGACAGACACCACAGTGGTTTGTAATTAGCTAATGGAAACTCATGAGAAAAGTCTTGAAGCTGCAAAGTGAAGAAAAGGAGAAGCTTCTCACAGAGTAGGCATCTATCACCTCTAGCAAAAAAAAAGGCAGGCTGGGAGTGGGAGGGGGTAAACAGGGCTGTCCTCACAGCTCTGATTTGCCAGTGTCCAATTACCTAAAAGGTAGTTACATAACCCATTGGTTTCAGAACTAAAGAGAAGTAAAGTCAAACCTTTTTTTTTTGGGTGGGTAGAAGAGGGACACAACTGACTGTTTTAGCATTGTTTAATGTTGGGCTTTAATCTCATGGCTTCAGAGCCAGCATCCATCTATTGCAGCTTGCATTGCGCAAAAAAAAAAAGGCAGCTTCCCGCAGCAGTATTTTAACATTCTTTGCTATAAAGAACTCCGAGAGTGGATTTTAGGCTCTCTGTATGTGAGAATCCTGAATATGTCCTAGAGGCACAAAAGGCTCCATTGTACAAATCAAAATTAAACTAAGGTGTCAGAACCATAAAATTGTTAAAGAAATATGCTACATGGCAGATAAAAATCTTGTCCTAAAAGTTGCGTGTCAACATTACTTTTTACTATAAATCTACGGTCTACTTCACACAGCATAAGGCTTGTAAATGCTAGCCTAAAAAGCTACAGCAAGCATTTAAGGCTAATGCACACTGATGTATACTATTTTTGCAGGATCTTGCTAATCAGACTTGTCAGCTCTTTCTGTTTACATGCGTTGAGAGTACATGGTCCTTATTGGGCACCACCGCAGCTTCAGCATGACATGAAAATTAACAGTGTGTAAGTCAGCCACGGCACAGATGCTCATTACAAAGTATTGATGTTTATATCTCTCTGAATAAGACATTCAAGCAGCAGCGCGGCATGCGCATAAATTAACTTTGACTTTGGCTGATTCTGAATGACTGAAAGCACTCTGCACTTGCGCTGCTTCTGCATGACTGACTCATTCTAGGAGAGATACAAACATCAATGTATCTCAGTGGTGCCACGGAGTACACATTGCTGACATTAACATGCTGGCCCTGAGCATAAATCGATGTACATCGATGCAGATTTTTCTAGTTTTTGATTTATACAGCTAAACGCTGCTGACAAAAACAGACAGGTGTGCAAGCGCACATAGTATACAATACTGCTGCCGTCAGAATTATACGCAGCAAATTGCACAAGCCCTTTTTACAAAGCATCCTGTGTCTTTGCGGTATCTTAAAACAAGTTGCTAGCTGGCCTCAGAAAGCTTTGCCACTGCTTAAAACTTGTTGAAAGCCTGAATATTGAGAGTACTTTAAAGGGCTTCAAAAGAGCTGCAGAAAGTTGCTAAATGCTTGTTACATAGTTAGCCAGATTGAAAGAAAAAAACAAAAACAAAAAGACACCAAGTCCATCGAGTTCAACCTATAGTTGTTGTACATGTTGCTCTTCGAACAAGTAGCTACAAGCTTGCATTGGAGGGGTAGTCTCCTGGTAGTAAAATTTTTAGAGTTTCTCAAAGGAACAAGACAAACTAAAACACTGTCTGCAGTATCTCGAAGCTAACCAACACTATGCTATTTTTGGTCCACTTAAGTTTGCAAAACTGCAGTAATAAATGCATCTGCTTACCCTGAGGGCTTGGCTGTGTTGGCGACTGAGGCGGAGGATTATTTTGTAGATTTTGGACTTCCAGTACAGTTGGCGATTTGGAAGATTTGCGTTCACCATTTGCCTGAAGCAGTTTCTTGGGACGTCCTCTTTTCCGACCTGCCATTTTTTTGCCCTTCTTGGTCAGTCTCCTACGAGCTTTGGCAGGTGAAGTCTTTTTCACAGGAGCCGGTTTCTCCTCCTCCGTAGCAGAATCCTAAGGGGAAACCACGGAATTAGTGTTCACTTTTGTGTTTTGTAGTTTTTTACTAGAAATAAATTCTCCACTGCTTAAAGTGAATCTGACAGCTTAACGAAAAAAATCAAGGTGAAAGGTTCCTGCAAAAGAAGCGCTCCTATACTTGCTTTTCCTGCAGCCTAGATTTCCTACCTCCGCTCCAGCACTGCAGCCTCTGTCAGTTTCTTCAGCATTCTACACCTCATGGAGAATTGGATGCTTGTGTCCTCCACCACATTCTGTGGCTCCTTCCTCAGTCCTACTATGTCAAGTTTCTAATAGTGGTGCAGGTGGTCAGAGGATGGAAGCTCAGTGTCTGCCAGGAGACACAGGCATCCGACTCTTCTTGAAGTGTTGAATGCCAAACAGACAGAGAGGCTGCAAAGCTGGAACTAAGGAGAGGTAGGTCACATCCCGCTGGAGAGGCAAGTATAGTAGCTTTACTTTTGCAGGGACCTTACGTCTTGATTAACAAAATGAAATGGTCACTAAAAAATAAATTTCTGACCGAAATGTCTATTTCACTAAACAGCATCTCATGCTCAATTATTGGGAATGTGTATTTTGAAAGTTATTTATGGGGGCGTGGTTTGCACATAGCGCCGGGCGTACGTGTCTGAGCTGAACTCCGTCTACCACCCCGTGTAAATCCTGCTTCACCGCCACTCTTTTGACCCCCACTGCGGCTCCAGTCCCTCGCCATCTACCCCTGATAACCATGGGCAGGACCCCATGCCGGAAAGACTCGGGCAAACAACCCAGCCACGGCACCATCAAACGCTTGTGGTCTCAAACGGCCTCCCCGCCGGACAGCATGGCGAAATGCCCCTCCAGAGGCCGCGACTCGGGCTCGGACCTGCCACCGACCGGAGCCCAGCCCGGAGATCGCTCTCTGTTACCAGCCTTCTCCTCTGCGTCTCAAGACTCGGACCGGGGATCAGAGATGTCAGTGGCAACCCTGCCTAGGACCCTGCCCAGTAAGTCAGACCTGGCCACGATGTTCGAGCGCCTCGAAAATTTGTTAAAATCCGAAAGATTGTCAGTGAAGGCTGAGGTGACACACGTTCTGACCCGGGTCGAGGAGGTCGAAAATAGACTGAACGCCCATGCTCAAGCTATCCAAGAACTACAGGCATGCAGTACAACTGCGCACCTGGCTTTGCGCTCTACGCTATACAACTGGAGGACCAAGAAAAATCGGAACCGCCGCAACAATCTGCGGGTGCGAGGCCTACCCGAAGCCACAAGAGATGCTGACTTGGGGGATACACTCTGCTGCATTTTCAACGGCATCCTGGGACGCCCACCCACCTCGCCCATGCTGTTTGACCGGGCACACAGAGCTCTTCGCCCTAAATCAGGGGCAGGTTAGCAACCCAGGGATGTAATTGTTTCGCTTTCTATTACACAGAAAAGGAGTTGGTGACCGAACGCCTGAGAGATCTCGCTGAAGTGGACTTTGATGGGGCCAGCTTGCGCATTTTTCCCGATCTCGCGGTTGAGACCCTGTCCAGACGCCAGGCTCTGAAACCCCTACTTCAATTGATGCGTGAGCGGAATATCACCTATCGATGGGGATTCCCTGCCTGCCTAATAGGCTCCCGAGAGGGTCACTCTGCTGTCCTTCGCTTCCCAGAAGACATCAAGGATTTCTGCGGAAAACTGGACATCCCGCCACCCTCCCCCTGGATGGACCCTGCTTCCTACCTCTCAATGGCACCGGTCACCCCCAGAGCCACATTGCGCCTCTCGGCGACAATCTACAGCCCGTCCCTCCGCGGCAGACGCCCCGTGACTTGGCATGTCGTGCGAGGCTGTGTTCGTCTGATACCCATCTCAACGGCTCCTGAGAATTCACGTTTTGATTTTTTTTGAATTTTCTGCTCCTTCAATGCAGCTGTTTTGCCCCTTCTTCATGACCCGCCAGTTGCGGTCTTTCTGTCACCCCCACTAAACTCAAGGCTCCCAGCTCTAGACTCTCCCTGATTGCACAGCCTCCGGTCCGTTTTTGTTATTTTTCTCCTCATTTTCTCTTTTTTGACGCATCAGGTACCGGGATAACGGTTTGCTCAGGAGTAGCCGGGCATGGCGGACGTGATTCTATGTTTAGCAGTTAATCTGTGGATTTCTTAATGCTCAATGCGGTTTGTTATGATTCTCAGCCTCTGTTACCTTATGAGTGGTATTCTTATCTTAATAATCAAAAATCACTGCGCTGGGAATGAGTGACTCGAAATCTAAATAACTAAATAGACCAGCAGCAACTTTGTGTATAAGTGAGTCTATTATGTGGCAAATAAGTTGCGCTCGGTATTCTTATCTTATTCGCTTACCATTTCGTACTTATGCAGGATTGCACTGGGAGTGCTGGTCAGGCGGTCCCACGGCGAATGCTGGCTGTTGGCCCACAGACGCTTAGGATCTGCCCTGCACCCCCCAATAGGCGGCCTCTCGCATGGTCCCTGTTGGACCGAGAGACTAAGCCTCAGTGCTATATTTGGCACACTTACTATGGCTTAACGCCGACAAGTTGTTTATTGTCCTCTGTGTATCCCCCCCCCCCCATTTCCTTGCCGATGTCTGTCCTCCCCAGTTTGTTCTCCCACCCTCCCCTGTGTGGTTCTTACCCTTGGTCTGGGTTACTGGATTCTTTGGTCGCATCTCATTCCATATCCATGATGGCGTCTCTTTGTTTGGTGACATAATGCTCCCTCAAAAAGGCACCAAGTGCTAACTGAACTACATAGGCGGACGTGGTCTTTTTGCAAGAGACTTCTATCTCCCATCACTCCACACTACACCTGCACTCAAGGTACTTTCCTCACTGGTATCACTGCACGTCTCCTGCCAAACGGGGGCGTGGGGTCGCCATAGGATTTGGGAAGGATGTTACCTTCACGGTCACTGACAGACTAGTGGATCCAGAGGGCAGATTTCTTTGTTGAAATGTATGGTGTTATTTATACTTTGGCGAACGTTTATTGTCCGAATTCCAAAAAAAGTTTCACATTTTGGAAAAATACTAGGTAAACTACGTAGCTTTCGTTCTGGCCACCTAATGATATCGGGGGACTTTAACTTCTGCATGCACCCCTCCATGGATACATCACACCCGCAATCCTAAATCACACCTTAATACTGTACGCAGGGCGCTGCATGATCTCCAATTAGTAGATGTGTGGAGGGTACTTCACCCTAAAGAAAGGGACTACTGCCATTACTCATCCGTCCATAACTCCTACTCGAGGCTTGACATGCTCTTCCTGGACCACTTCCTCCTGGAAGTGATACAAGCCGCAACTATCCTCCCTCTCACCTTATCGGACCATGCTCCGGTGACTGTATTACTTACCTTAGCAAATGCACCGTCTAGAAGCTACAATTGGCGACTTAACAAATCTTTGCTCCACGACCCGATGGTCGTTGCAACAGTAGCTGCCAACATAGATACTTACTTTCAGGAAAACACCCAGGACCAAGCCTCACCAGCTGTCCTCTGGGAAGCTCACAAATCAGTGATCGGGGGCACACTGATAGGCTCCAAGAAAAAAAAGGATTGTGTTGCGCAGCTACAACTGTTGCTTCCGATATACACTCTTTAGAACTTTCTCATAAGGCTACATCTGACTGCTCTACGTATCAAACACTCACCCTCAAACGGGAACAACTTAAAGAGCTGCTGGAATCGGACACTAAACAAGCCTTTGCTGCTATAAATAAGAATTATGTTCAGGGTAACAAGCCAGGTAGACTATTGGCTCAAGCACTACGCCCACCTTCATCCCCAAAATCAAGACTGCAACGGACTCTATGGCCCATCTTACCACTGACATAGCCAAAGTATTCCATGACTTTTACCAGGTCAATCCCCCCTCGCAGTCTCACCTACGTCCTGATCTTACTGATAGAATCGCTGACTACTTACAAAGAGCGGGTTTACCTACGTTACCAACTGACGCCCTACTTGCCTTAGAATCCCCCATCACTATAGCAGAAGTTGAACGAGCGATCCACTCCACCCCTTTAGGCAAAAGCCCGGGTCCGGACGGATTCCCCCTTTTGTACTTCAAGCGTTTTCAGACTCAATTAGCCCCCCATTCCTGTAGTTATGTTAATTCCATCTATGCCACCTCCCCTCTCAGACCAGAATCGTTACTTGCCCACATCACTATCCTGCCACTAAACGTAATAATTAATTTAGCCACTATAAATAATAATCCTAACATTCATGGCATATCCTCCCCCCACTACAAAATCGCGGCATATGCGGACGACATCCTTTTTTATGTCCGTGACCCTCGGATCTCACTCGCGCATATACTATCCGAATTGTGTACACTAACGGGAATTATCCAATTTCAAGATCAATATGGGCAAGTCAGAGATTTTGAACATGTGAGGGGGGCAGACTGCCGTAGTCTACGTCCTCACTTTCCCTTTCTCTGGATACACGATTGCATGCGCTCACTAGGTATCTACCTCACTCCCAAAACGTTACATCTCTACACTCATAATTACATCCCCTTGCTCAACTCGGTAAAGCTTGACCTCAATTCCTACTCTGCATGTACCATGTCTTGGCTAGGATGATTCTGCCCAAGATTTTATTTTACTTCCAAATGCTACCTATTTCCCTCCCAACAACGTACTAAGTCACGTTACGCTCCCTACTCTCAAAATTTATTTGGCAACGTAGGAAACCTCAGATCGCCTACTCCATTGTATCTCCACACAAATTGAAAGGGGGTTGAATGTACCTGATTTTAAGCAATACCACAAAGCTGCTCAATTAGTCAGGTTAAAAGATTGGACATTTAACTCCTCACAAAAAGGGTGGGTGGCATTAGAAGCAGACTTGAGCAACCCCAGACTCTCAGACCACCCCATATGCGGACCCTATCCCCTCTGATCTCCCCCCTCACTCTTCAACACTTTGTCGTGTCTCTCCAGAAGCCCCTCCGAACGAGAGCAAACTTCCTGCCCTTTGAGTCACTGTTAGGGTCATCGACCTCCACACGCCATGGTCTGTCATCTATAAGATCCTGTCAAACCTCTCGGGTAATATGCCCACGCCATACCTTGGGAAATGGGAACAAGAATTCCAACGACCCTTATCCCCTCCTCAGCGATCCAAAGTGTTGCACGTGTTCCTCGGCTTCGCCTGATAGCCATATGATGGAAGTAAACTTTAAACTCCTCGCGAGGTGGTATCAGGTCCCCATCACTACTCATGCCATCAGCCGAGCAAATTCCCCACGGTGCTGGAGATCATGCGGTGCCAGAGGCACGTATGCTCAACTATGGTGGGATTGCCCACTCATACAACGGTTCTGGGGAGATATCACCCGTCTCATTTCCTCCATTAGCGGCATACCTACACCCATGGACCCCTGGCTGTGCCTCTTCCATCTCAACCCCCTCTCAGTGCGCTCATATAAAAAGACGGTGATCCCCTTTATGCTTAATGCCACAAAAGCTCTTATCCCCAAACACTGGCGATCTGCCCAAATAACCCACTGTGGCGGAATGGCTGACACGGGTAGACTACCTGCAACTGATGAACTACATCACTCTATTAATAACTACAGCACTTTCTATAAAACTTGGGCGGGCTGGTTGCACTTTAAAACTAAAGATGACTATAGCAAACTGTTGTCCACATGATTTGACCTGATTTATTCTGTTTTATTTTATTTTTCATATTCTCCCTGTTAATTTTGCATGTCCGGTTGTTGTCTCATACTCCGCCCTAACATGATATGTCTTCTTTAAATTTGATTAATGGCCTTGTGGGGTCCCTAATATGTATATACCTTACAGTGTTTCACCATGTGAATGAACACGCTGGAGCTCCACCTACTCCAAAATACCCCGACCAGGGGAATACCCAGTTCCCCTACCTCCCTGGTGTAACCTGCGCCCCCCCTACCTTTGGTATTATATGTAATGTGATTGTCTATATGTCTGTACACACTGTATTGTATTTTTGTTATTTGTTATATTTCGAAAACCTTCAATAAATATTTAATATGAAAATAACGTTATTTATTTACTTTTAGACAGAACTGATGCTTTCCAGTCCTGGAATTGCAGGTAAAACAACAGTTAATATAATCGCTACTTAAAGTGACACTAAACTCAGGAGTTAAATCTTAATGCATTCAAGTACCTTAACTAGTAACAAAAATGTACCGTATATATAATGTATTGTCTGCACTGTATTAGCAGTATATACTCTATATAGAGTATATACTGCTAATACAGTGCAGACAATACATTTACAATTATACTAACATGAATGGATTAAATGATCTGTATGTAGCCCTGTACTATGGATCATTTAACCCATTCATGTTAGCAGAGGATCATTGTAAATGTATTGTTGCAGGCACTCTATATGTACATGTACTATATACTACATATAGAGTGCACTGAACAATAGATTTACAATTATCCTCTGCTAATATGAATGGGTTAAATGATCCGTAGTACATGATATGTAGCCCTGTACCCCCTTTTCCACTTACAGAGCTAGGTTATTGTTTTTCTTTTAAATATTCAAGTAATTTTATTGGTATCTATCTTCATTTTGTACATTTACCAGTAGCTGCCTCATTTCCCACCCTAGGCTTATACTCGAGTCAATATTTTTTCCCAGTTTTTTGTGGTAAAATTAGGTACCTCGGCTTATATTCGGGACGGCTTATACTCGAGTATATACGGTAGCTTATTTGTGTATCACTCAGCTGTAGATCCTCAATCATCTCTACATTGGTGCTGACACTGCCCTCCTTCTGGAAGGTGCCTACTTTTGTTCCCCATGGTCTCTGTGCGTGTGGTAAAATAGCCACCACTCCAAGTTCGCTCCTGTGGTGGACTACAATCTCAATGCAAATTAGTCAACTAAACGTGAGAGTGTAGTCTATTGCGGGAATGAGCTTGGAGTGGTGGCTACTTTACAACACACACAGGGACAAGGACAGTGTCCGCACCAATTTAGAGATGATTTGAGGATACACAGCTCAGGGATACACAAATGAGCTACATATTTGTTAAGAGTAAAGGCACTAGAATGCATTTTTTAAATTTAAGTCTTGAGTTCAGTGTAACTTTAAAGTCAAATTTTGCTATATAAGAAGAGGTATAGAGTTTTGAGAATTGACTGCATGAAACACAGGAACTATATAATTTGTGAAATAAAAACTAAATAAAAGGATAAAATAAAGAAAACAACGTTTTGTGAAATGACCTTTATGTCTCAAACTATATTTCCCACAAAACCTAGAGAATTACCATGTTGTATTTAATGTAAGTAATTAGAATCACATATTAAGACTTAATTTATTATATATATACAAAGTGTGTCTACCTTAATCTCCTGAATTTTTGTAGGGGTGGTGGTATTGCTCTTTCCTTCACGTTGCTGCCTTCTTCGAGCTGCTTCCTGTTCCTCCTTAACAAACAAAAATTTGTTTAGATAAAATACTCACTCACTAAAATGGCCAAGTCAATCCTTTGAAACAAAGATTTACTATTGCTTCTTCTACTTCTACAAATAACACAATGAAGAAGATGCTAGTTGCTGCATAAGACTAGCACACACAGATTTAAACAGGGAACTGAACTCTGAAAGCTTTGCCTAAAAGGGCAGGCAGAATGCATAGAACTAATAACTAGAATGGCCTGTGATCTCCCTGAAGTTGATCTTTCCCTGTTATGGCCTAAATGTCACAACCTGCACTGTCTTGATGCAAATGAAAATCACCAGCACTCGAATACTTGTAAATCACCACTGCGAGAACCACCATTTACTGTATGGTTCTAAACAGTCAGGCTTTCGCCCCATACACTCCATTGAAACCGCCCTCCTAGAAATCTCCAATGACTTACTAACAGCTAAAAACAATGGCCACTACTCCTTACTCTTGCTATTAGACCTTTCTGCTGCTTTAGAAACTGTTGACCACCTGCTCCTCCTCAAAAAACTCCACTCGCTTGGCCTACAAGTCTGGATGTCGCAACACTTCTTAAAACTAAATATTTCAAAAACTGAGCTCTTGATATTTCATCCTGTCTATGCACCTTTCCCAACATTTCCCTTGAGATTGATAACTCAACTATCCAACCCTCCCCCCATGCCAAGGTGCTAGGTGTCATCCTTGACTCGGCCCTCACCTTTCTTTCCCACATCCAATCACAAACCAAATCCTGCCGCCTTTACCTTCGTAACATCATCCACTCCATTGTTATCTCCCATCTTGACTATTGCAACTTCCTCCTCATTGGCCTACCTCTACACAGGCTATCCCCCCTTCAGTATCATGAATGCAGCTGCTAGACTCATTCACCTGACCAACCGCTTAGTGTCTGCAACCCCCCTCTGCCGATCCCTGCACCCGCTTTCAATAGCCCAAAGTATAAAATTCAAAATATTAACAATCACTTATAAAGCTATCCACAACTCTGCCCCCAGATAGATCTCAAACCTAGTCTCAAAATATCACCTCCGCTCCTCCCAAGACCTCCTGCTTTCCAGCTCCCTTGTCAACTCCTCCCATACTCGCCTCCAGGACTTTTCTATAGTCTCTCCCATCCTCGAACTCTTCACCCCAACCTGTCAGTCTATCTCCCACCTTGACTGCTTTTAGGCGATCCCTAAAGACTCATCTCTTGAGGGAAGCCTATCCCACCTCAACCTAACCACTGAACCATCACATTCTCAAACATTTCATCCCCACCCAGCTACCTCCTAATGTATTAATTGCCCCTCCCTTTTAGATTGTAGGCCCTCCTTACCATCTTGTCTTGAATTGTATTGTGATTGTTGTGTCTTCCTTATATTGTAAAGCACTGCACAAACTGTTTGCGCTATATAAACCCTGTATAAATAGTAATAATAATAACAACAATAACTACTATGTAAGGAGTGCAGGGGATACATCTGGACACTGCTATGATCTGCACTGTATCTCTGTGTGAAGGCAGCCATCTTAGTAGAGTGGCAGGGTCATATCAGAGCATCCAGCAAAAAACACTGAGCAACACAACAGTAACATAACCAAATCTCCTGAGGCTAGCCGTCAAAGGCAACAGTGCCTTAGACCTTACACTACAGATTTACAGAAATTAGGCTAAATTGGTCAATTACCCCATCACACAATTCCACACAAGCGATAGATTGTTTCAAAGTACCACAGACACAATTAAAATTTCTACATTTTCTCTAGAACATAGCAAATATTCACTTTTAAGAGTTTAGTTCTACTTTAACTTCTGTATAAACAGCAATAAATTGGCATTAATCTTGTAATGGTCTGACAGCAGTGAACATTAATTGCTTATGTCCTTAACATATAACAATGACAAACTTTATTGCATAGGGTAGAACGTTTTAAAAGGAAAAAATAAAACAAGCTAAAAAAGTACAGTAAGTTCCCTACATAAAAACCTAGACGTTGCAAACTTTCAAAGATGCAAACATCCATTTGGATGTGCAATCTCGCAAGTTTGTTCACGTGTCTTATGTATATTGTCACGTGCATGCATCCTCTAAAAATGGCTGTGCTTTTGTGTACTTAAATGTACAGTACATTATAGAGTACAGTAGTACTGTATCTAGCCCAGGATGTCCAGAAGCAAGCGTAAAAGCAGTGGCGATGTAGCTTGTACTGCTACGGCTAAGAAGCGCCAAGCTATAACAATGGAAACAAAAGTAAAATTAATTGTGGAGCGAGGAGAAAAGATGGTAGACATCGCTCCTTCTTATAACATGAATCAATTAACCATTGGCACAATTCTAAACAACAAGGACAAGATCATAGAACATGTTAAGCCTCCTGGGCCGATAACTCCCACAATAATATCGAAGCGCAGAAAAGTGATAAGAGGAGATTAATAAACTTCTCAAGTGTGTGGCTGCAGGATCAGCGACAAGTCCTGCTCAGCTTATTGCTGATTCAAGAGAAGGCTAAAAACCTTTATGAAGACTTGAAGAAACATGGTGAAGAATCAGAGGGTGTGTGTCTTTTAATGCCAACTATGGCTGGTTTAATCGGTTCAAGGCTAGAGCCAACTTTCACGATGCAAAAGCAAGTGGCGATGCAGTGAGTGCTAATACAGTAGCTGACCAGGATTTTCTTGAAACACTTGGAGAAATTATTGATGAAGACGAGTATCTATCTAAACTAAATGTGGATGAGACAGGACTGTACTGGCAGAGGATGACAGGCTGAAGTTACATCAGTAAGGAGGAAAAGTCGATGCCAGGCTATAAAACAGCAAAGGATAGGCTAACTGTGTTTGGTGTCAATGCTTCCGGCAATATGAAGCGGAACCCTCTCTTAGTTTACCATTTAGAGAACCCAAGGGCCCTCTTCCTGTTGTGTGGAAGAATAACTCCAAAGCCTGGGTTACACAGGCCATTTTCCACGATTGGTTTATTTCGAAGTTAAAGAAATGATGCTTGGAGAAGGGCATACCATTCAACGTTCTTTTGCTGCTGGACAATGCTCCGGGCCACTCCCCATTCATGGACGACTTTCATCCCAATATCAAAGTAGTGCATCTGCCACCTAATACTACGCCGTTTATCCAACCTATGGCCCAGGGAACTATAGCGACTTTCAAAAAATATTATTTACGTCACACTTTGTCAAGCAGTAAGGGCAATTGGCCAATCAGGATCAACCTTGCGACAATTGTGGAAGGAGTACAACATCAACAAGGCCATAAAAACATTGACTTTGCTTGATGTGGGGGCTTGTAAAAAGAACCTTTGCCCGCAGAATGTTCACGACTTTGGTGGAATTGAGAAAGTGAATGAGGTGAAAGAGCTCTTCGGCAACTTAGTGACCCTCAGTGAGAAGCTGGAGCTAGATGTGCAAAAGGACGACTTGACTGAACTCCTTGCAGTGCAACACGAGGAGCTTACTAATGAAGACCTGATGGAATTGGAGGCCCAGAGAAAAGGACAAAAAGAGTCAAGAGGAAGAAGTAACTTAGAACCGAAGAGATTCACAACGCAAGAAATGTCAAGGGGATTGTCCTTATTTGAGGAGGCACTGTTAGTTTTTGAAGCACAGGACCCGAACGTAGAAAAGGTACATGAAGGTTGCAGCAGCCCTTCAGAATGCAATCCAGTGCCACGGTGTCATCTATGCGAGAAGAAAAAAAAAAAGACCGCTACTACCCAGACATCATTGCATCTTTTTTCAAAGGGTAGATAACATTGAATCCAGCAAGGAACCAGAGCCTGTGCCATCAAAGTCAGGCATGAGTAATATTACAGCTTGCCCACCGTCTCCTATTGCCGACGATCCTTCAGCTCCAACCTCCTCCAGTCATTAACTTTTCTTGTCTATTTACTCAATGCCAGCCCCTGTATGCCAGCTGTTGTACTGTACTTTTCAAGGTACTGTAAGATAATTTTTTTTTTATTTGTGTAAAAAGTATTCTAAACCCATCACGGTACAGTACTATAAATCCAGTTGTGTTAGTTGGGTATCTAGGCTAACTTTGTTGGACTTACGAACAAATTGGACATATAAACGCACTCTTGGAATGGAACTCGTTCGTATGCAGGGGACTTATTGTAAAGCTCAGGGTCCCTAAGAACAATTAGGCAGTGGTAATATACTAAAGAATAGATAATCAAAATTTTAACATACCCTGAGTTTTGGATTTTTCAGACTGGAAAAGTAGTTTTCAAGCTGTACAGAAGAAAAGTAAAGATTAAAAACACAAAAAAAGTTAAAAAAGTAAAGACTATTAAAACTAGACTAGGAAATCTGTGGAACTGTTGAGGCAGCAATAGAAAGTAGGAATTTCACAAACACGAAGAAGGATGCCATCATTTGCGATTGGCTCAACTCAGTTAACCCTTTAGTGACCAGAGGTCACAAGCCCGTGCCAAATATACCTGGGTCCGCATCTAAGAAGATCCGGAACTGAGCGATCAGCAGTATGTGATCGCTCAGTTCTCGATCTATAGAACCAACGTGCGACAGTTGCAGTGTCCAATTCTGGAGATGTGTATTTCACTCTCCCCATAATTCTCCCCCTAAACTCAATAACTATCACTAATCTCCTTCCCTAAATTTGAATTTGTTTTTCAAACATATCAGGCTTTTTATTTAGAACATTGCTTTATTACAAAATGTTCTTAATGTAAAAAATACTCTCTTTATTTTACTATTCCTAATAAAGCAACTGTATCTGACAGTTACACCGTTAAAAGATGGCACCACAGATGAACATTGCAGCCTAAAGATGACAGTATTTATCCGCAGGCTGAAGGCTTTTATTTTTATCAGTGAAGCCTCCTGCCTACACGTGATCACCATGTCAGAAATGACAATTATCACGACTGGAAACCACTATCATTGGATCCCACCGTTTAGTGTTGGCAACTGGCTATCAAAGGGGAGAACATTTATCAACATATCCCTGGCATGAAGCATTGCGTCGGGAAATGTTAAACGGATTTTTGACAAAAAGCAAGAAGAAAAATGTTTATCACTCAAAGAAAATTTCCAACAAGTCACATTTGTGACCAATAAAAGACTATCCATTTAACCCGTAGAAAAACACTTTCCTTGTGCATGTGCTAAATGTAAACGTTATCCATGCAAGGGGGGAAAAGAATTGGTAAAGTATTGCCTCTGATTGTTTTAAATTGACTAGTCTGCCCATCTTTGACCACCTATCTGTGTTTGTAAAAGGAATAAGTTGTTTTAATGCAACTATTTTTTTTTAAAAGCATGCTGAATTTGTCCAAGACCCAGGGCCAAGTAGAGTCTGGTCAACCTTTTAAATTCAGGAGTTTCATTAGTGTTTTAAGGCTACACAGACAGCCAATTAATTGGACAAAAGGTTGCTACCTGCAATCCAGCTGAATATTGCTGCATAACATTTCAGTCTTAATTCTAAATGTAAAAAATAATCTACTTGATTTTGGGAAGGGAGAAACGATTTTTATTTTAGTAAGCAACATGAATCACATCTGAAAGACAAACAGAAAAAGAGGTATGTGAAGGTAACTCACTAAAGTCCGGTCTATGGTGTGCAGGTAATAGGAAACTGGCTTGCCGGTCCAAGAGACAGAACCTTTCAACGGTGACAGTTCAACTACTCTCATTATAGTGCCAATATCTGAAGAGGGTCAAACAGGTTAGGTACAAGAACATTTTTTTAATGAAAAAACAATTGCACATACATTAATGTCAATGGCTCCCTATGACCGCAATCCATGAGGACTGAATTCTGGAACTCCCTGCTATAAGTAGCCGCCTTTATGATATCTAATGATGAGCTAGAGTTCTACATCACAGTCAATTTCTATGCTAAAGTCAATCTGAACCTAAACAAACACATTCAGCCTGTGATGCAGTAGACACACACAATAGTAAAATTGTCTACAGGATGTGCAGTGCACAGAGAGAAAAAGCACATTTACAGAAGGCAGCCACTGGCAGACTTTCACTTCCTGCTTCTAGCTAAACACTTCCTGTTTATAGCTAAACACTTGCATGATCAACCTTGCAAGTTTATGGAGAACTCTGCAGCACTTACAATATCTGCAGGCCTGAGAAGTCTGATTGTGTCTGCATGTCCACCTATTAGGTGTATAGGCAGCTTAAGAAGCTCTGAAGAGCAGTGGGGAGGGGAAAAACTGCCTGTTAAGAGAAGACAAAGCCAAGCACCAACTACATAAACAAAGTTCACTCGTGAGCAGTGATGTTTGAAATTTATATGTAGTGAAGAGCAATAAAGCTGTGTGATTGGCAGTTAGATGAGCCAGTCCTTCACTATTACTCCAATAAGAAACCAGAGTTGAGGCTTATGTGACATGGGAAGGGTCAAAATGGTCCTAGTTTTCCTGGTAAAATTAAAGTTTATTTACATAGTAGTCTTCAAATCACCTTCTTGACCTTAACAACAACTTGGCAGTCTGGATAAGCCAGTTTTAATAAGTACACAGCCTTTTTCTAAATAGTATAAAGTAATTGACTCACCACTGAGGTTTCTACTGTTAATTCGAAAGTTAAGAGGTGCAAAGGGTTTGGAGGAAACAATTCTTCCACCTGAAATTTAAGTAGTAAAATTAAGTTTGCGAACAAATTTAGGAATGGGTGAAACTGTCAAACATTAAAAGTTAAAACTGATATCCGTTTTCTATATCCGATATATGTTTTTTTAGCCTCTTTAGACTTTAAGCCCTCATTCACACTGAGTGTTTTGTATCGCTTTTCTGCCCGAAAAAAACGTGCCCAAAAAAAAAACCCCATTCACTTCCATGGCCATGTTCATATCTCAACATTTTCACTTGAAGCAAAACACCTTTTGCTTAAAGAAAGTATGAGCTTCTTTTTGGCAGATTCTGCGCTTCTTGGTTCCAGAGACTTAAGGAAATGCTCAAAAACACGCACTTGCTGCGTTTTACATTCGCCCATTTACATCAATGTGTCAAGATCTGCTCACAAAAAAGGTGCACCTTTAGGTTTGCGCATAAAAATTTGCAAAAAAACGCTCTACACAAAAACATTAATATTTACTGTCGCTCCTGTGTGAATGCAGGCTTAGCTCATTCTCAGGCTTTTCTTACACCATGAGATATTACATATTAGAAACTGTACAGGCTAGCCATTTACTCTGCCTGGTCTCAAAATTAAATCTTTAAGTGTGTGCTACAGGTGACCACAATAGACTAAAAGTTGGAAAGCAGACCACTTGAAAGCAAAACCATTGACTATCAATAATATGAGATCATTAGTGCATTATTATAGACATACTATAGTTATCTACAATAATATACAAGGTAACTAAGTATTGTAAAAACAGTTTATCATTTTAAATAGGGATGCACCAGTACCGGTATTTATCTTTCGGTACTCGCCGATAAAGGTACTTCCGCTAGCATGGAGCTGGCTTCCCAGCCAATCGGGAAGCCGGAAGGCGAGTCATTGCCCGCCACCGGCTTCCTGATTGGCCGGGAAGCCGGCTCCATGATCCCTTGCAGCACTGCCAGAGGAAATATCCCTCTGACTGTTAGTTCCAGTATCGGGGGCACGTATCGGAGCGTTTGGGCAAGTACTTGCCCAAATACTCGGTATCGGCACCAATACAGATACTAGTATCGGTGCATCCCTAATTTTAAAAGATAATTAAAATGTATGGATCATAGAGATGATAAATAGTGAAAATGTTATGGTAATAAAGCAGAATGAGATGTTGTACAGATACAAAAGATGCAAGCAAAATGAATACATGTTTAGAAAAACCTTTGGGTGTGAAACAGAGCTAAAAAAAAAAAAAAAAAATGTTTTAAAAATTTCCACAAAATAATTGTTTAAGATTTAATAAAATGCCATGTCAGGTATTTGACAAATGGATAAAACTACCGATATTTGGTTGACATTTTTTTTTATTTAACTGCAAAGGTGTAAAAAAATGTAAATACAACCATCACTACAATTTTGCTAACATAAGCTCTGTGTTTTCCAACTCACAATAAGAATTGTTTTATAACATGTGGCACATACTGTTTTCTAGTGTGTTCAGCTGAACAGAATGCTGGCAAACAGCATTGTAACAAATATACAACAGTAAGTGTGCTTATCCTTTCTGCCATTCACCCTTTACCCCCCTCAAATGTTTCCTTCCTGTATGCCGTGGTTGCTGGTTTCAGCTGCCCAGTTGATCCCCACAGACTTCTATTAGGCCATTTCCCGAAGCTGGTGATGCTCCCACAGAAGTCTATGGGGTTTGACTGCACAGGCGCAGCCAGCACAAGGGATTTCATGCTGCAGCATTACAACATAGTGGCGGCTTGCAGGTTAGTTTACACCTGGGGTGGGATGGGAAACATGGACAGAATTGCACTTTAATTGTCATAATTGATTTATTTCTTCACTATATAGAGCATTATTAACTAGCAGTTCTATATGTTTATAGAATGTTGACACAATTACATGGATAGTACACTGACTAAAAAAAGAAACGTGTTTCTGTCTTGATACCAAAACACTGAAAAGCCATAATCTCTAACAGCTACCTGCCCTACAGCTCGCTAGACAAAGACCAAAACATACGGAAGATGTTCCTCACTGAGAAGATTTGTAGGTCAATACATTACCTTCCTTCATGTTGGCAAATCTCTCCTTTAGCTGGTGGTCGACCTCAGGACCAAAGGCAAAATTATTCACAAAAATAACACTGCAAGATAACAGTAATGTTACTTCCGGAAATAACATGATGTTTTTGTCCAACCAACTACAGGCTCCCCGTTAAAGAGTGGGAAAAAAAAAAGCTGCAAAGCATTTTTAGATCTAGCATAGCATTCACCAAAGCATTAAACTCCCTAGTACCTTAGTTTTGCATAGAATACATAATCATATAAAATAATAAGGGTACAAGGAAAGCAAAGTAAGCTAGGGGTAGCAATATATCTCACTAGTCATGCAGTTTGCTATCCAATAAACAGACAGATTTTTCTGAGCATTATACATTTGTTTTTAGAGCACAACTGCAACCAAAAGGGTTTATTTTATTTTTATTTTTAATTGCAGTGACCCCATTTTAGAGCTTTCCCTTCACTTTCTGTCTGGATAGGTAGTGATAGGAAATCTCACCATTGGGGGGG